TACAACTGCATACCAAATACCATTGACTTATCATAAGTCGTTCCCTTTAAACAAACCTAAACACTAACATTAAACTATGTAAATGTTTCAAAGTCAATGACCCATGATGAGGGGACGGGGCTATATAATCTCCATGGAAACAACACTTGCAAATGCCAATAAATTTGCATACCAAATATCATTGACTTAACATTAGCAGTTCATCTTAAACTGATCTAATCACAAACTAATGAATGTACCAAAGAGACCGGTTCCTGAATTGGTCCCAGTTCGGAGCTCAGGTGTTCTCTTTGAATTTTAATAAGCTTCAAATGTAAACCAAAGAGTTCTTTGGGGAATACTTGCTGCGTATCGGGTCTCATTTACCATACGATCTCTCTATTTTACAGCAAATAACGTAGAGGATTGTAGCTTTCAATGCCTACCAGCGAAGCACAGGCTTGCCAAAAATAATGGTTCGGCGGTTTGTACGTTCATCTTGCCTTATCTTGTGTGCGCAAAAAATTCATACTGTGGCCATATCATTCCAAATTCTTTGTTTATTATATTTATCTTTGAATATAAAAGGAGAAACTATTATTATCCGCGAAAGGGGTTGATCGCAATTGAGACATATATTAAACGAAATCGAGAAATTTGGTTGATCACACATGAGACATGTATATATATATATTAAATAAAAACAGTTTCGTATCTTTGATTTATTAAGTTTATCACATTAGGATAAACTGGTTTAATAAAAGTAGAACTCCGTTTTTCCCGGAATCAATCCTAATTGTTTCCGAAATTGAGTCACATTTCATAATACGTCATTTCGTGACGTCATTCATGCGTTGTTAACCAAGTGCAAAGGCTGCCAGCATAGTTAGCTAAAATCCCACCCACCTCCCCATTCACCCTCCAAAAATAAAGATAAAAATTCTGCTGCTGTGTTGTTCAAATTTTTCAGGTTTTTGAAGTGAACGGATGCAGTAATCATACAGAGATGTAATATGTGTGTGATATAGCCGTACTGCTACTGGAACTTACAATTCAGAATGAAAAGAACGTGCCATATTGCTCGTGAATGATCACTTACTCCATAGATGATAGAACTGAGAAGCCAAAAAGAAAATATTTCCATCTTCTAACTTTGAGACGACAGTTAATTGATTCGAATACATTTTTAATTAATATATTTTCAAGATTATTGACAGTTCATATTTTTATTTCATCTATATGACATTTAATTCAGTATTATTATCATTTCAAATTAGTTGTAAATTCAAAATAAATAATTCGTTACAGTATAGCCAGCGGGATATGGCAAGATGAAAATGGAACATGCCCCCACATTGTACGCTAGCTTATATTTGGGGTTCTCTTCTGTATTCCCACAGAGTTTAGCTTGGGTCTTCTTTGAATGTACCAAAGAGACCGGTTCCTGAATTGGTCCCAGTTCGGAGCTCAGGTGTTCTCTTTGAATTTTAATAAGCTTCAAATGTAGACCAAAGAGTTCTTGGGGGAATATTTGCTGCGTATCGGGTCTCATTTTCCATACGATCCCTCTATTTTATAGCAAATAACGTAGAGGATTGTAGCTTTCATTGCCTACCAGCGAAGCACAGGCTTGCCAAAAATAATGGTTCGGCGGTTTGTACGTTCATCTTGCCTTATCTTGTCTGCGCAAAAAAATCATACTGTGGCCATATCATTTCAAATTCTTTTTTTATTATATATATCTTTGAATACAAAAGGAGAAACTTTTATTATCCGCGAAAGGGGTTGATCGCAATTGAGACATATATTAAACGAAATCGAGAAATTGGCTGATTACACATTAGACATGTATATATATATTAAATAAAAACAGTTTCGTATCTTTGATTAATACATGTAAACTAAGCAAAAATTTCAAAGTCAATAGACCATGACTGAGGGGTGGGCCAAATATTCTCCGTGGAAATGAGATGTGCTAATGCTTATACAACTGAATACCAATTAACATTGGCCTACCACTGATGGTTCCCCTTGAACTGACCTAATCACAAACTAATACATGTAAACTAAGCAAAGGTTTCAAAGTCAATAGACCATGACTGAGGGGGCAAGGCCAAATAATCTCCATGGAAATGAGATGTGCCAATGCTAATACAACTGAATACCAAATATCATTGACCTACCACTTGTGGTTCACCATAAACTAGACCTTATCATAAACTAATACATTGTTGACGCCGCCGACGCCGGAAACAGCATACTTATGTCTCGCTTTTTGACTCCGTCAAGGCGAAACAAAAATAAATCCACTAAAAATGTTGTCGACGTTGTCGTGAATGAGTAGCGTAGCTCTGCTGTAAATTCCAAATTATTCACATATATATTCCAAAAAATGATATTTGCCTATAAAAACAATATTGTTTAGGGCTTTGTCTGCTGGAACAAATACATATTTTTCGCGTACAGAGGATAAAACATACACAACCCAGGGGTTCTTTAAAGATCTAGAAACCCGAGTGCACATGATACATCGGAGTTTTTGAATACGCGTTTGAATGCATGACCGGAAAGCTTTGATCTAAAAATCTAAAAGTGTCCCGATTTGGTTCATCGATGATGACCCCCAGTTACTATCAAAATTTAAAAAAGTATTTAAATCGCCGTTCTTTTATTATGGTTATTTTTATTATTACATAGGGTTATCACTAAGTTCATACAACGTATATACTGACTTTTATTAATTAACTGATAAAGGTCCAAATTTTGTTGACATTGAGATTTGAGAACTTGTGCTATATGTGATGGCTTAGCACAAAGTTTTCACATTTAAAAAAAGAATGTAAAAGAAATGATAAATGACTAGTTTATTTACAGGATGACATCATGTCACAGACAAAATAAGCATTGTACAAATATAAAATATATACAATGTCTAGCATTTCATTCTTATGATCATAAAAAAAATACACCAAAACCGTGAAACAGTCTATATTCGGCAACAGATAGTTTTGACAGCAGTTTTTTTTAACTACTAATCGCATTCTGTCGAGTTCTTTCTGACAATGCTTCCATAACACACATTTCTTTACGGACGGGTTTTCCATCTTATTTTTCTATGCGGTTCTTTTATTACAGCGTTCATTACGCTACAAATTATTCACGTTTTTATTTGAAACGGTTTCGCGCTTTTTTATGTTAACAATAGCACAAGTTATGTAATGGACAACATTTGTCTCGATATCACGAAGGACCATAATCTTGTGGATTTGCATAAAGCAATTTTCAATAATCTACATAAGAATTTCATTTCAAGCAGGCTATCAATGTTAGTGGTTTTTTTTTCATTCCACGATCTGACATTGCAACTATCGAAAATGTCCATATGTGCCGAAAAAAAGTAAATGTGCAGATCTCTAATTTTTAAGGCAACACTGCCGTTCAAAACAATGGTTGATTTCACCATTGTAAATCCCCGTAGGAAATACCAAACCATTATTGTTAAAAAGGAGATAATCGGTATTAAAAAAAACTCATCATAGATTCCAGACTTCTAATTTTGAACACCAATACGCGCGTTCGTTTACAAAAGACTCATCAGTGACGTTCTAATATAAAAAGTTGAAAAGCCAAATAAAGTACGAAGTTGAAGAACATTGAGGACTCAAAATTCAGAAAGGTTTTGCCATACTAATAAGAACAGAATACTGACTGATTATAAATTGTATTTTCACTAACATGATACACAGAGGACATCTTGATTGAATGCGGTAAGTAGTTTCAAAACATTTAACAAAAACTTCTTCCAAAATTGCCTGATTGACTAAACAGATTCGTTACTATACAGAAATTATAATTTATTAAGATCTATCGATAATATTAATAATAAAAAACCACTGTCTTAAAAAGCATATTGATTACACAACTAATTCCACATTAAAAATAAACTTTCTACGGAAAAATATAGCAAAACGTTATCATAAAAAATACCCTGAGTATTCTAAAATTTGCATGGGAAAATGAATGCTATGAAATTACCTCGCAATAGAAACTTGGGGCGAAGAAACTATGCATAGTTACAGCAGAATATACATAAGAAATGTCAAAAACTTGTTTTCTGCTAGTTGATAAGTATAATAAAAAAATTTGGATTTTTCATCTCCAATATATATTTTTTTTCTCCCGTTAGAACATGGAAAGATAAATGCAAATAATTTTGACTAGACATATTAATATTAATCTTATAGTCAAATTCATGGTTCGAGGTCTATTTTTACAAACAATTTCGATTTTTAAAAATAAAATAATTGTTCTGTCTTTTTTTGTATGTTTGTCTAGCCTAGCTGCAACATATTCTATATTTAGAATTAAATAATAAAATCCAAATATAAAAAAAAAAACTATATATAACTGTTATAAATATGATGCCAACGTATTACAAATAGAACCCATCCCTTTGCAATTTGTTAACTAATAATGAAAGATTGAAAAAAGACAAAATCAAATGCTAATAATAAGAAATAGCATGTGTACCAGATCAAATAAAATACGAAGTAATATCCATGAACAATGGTAACTTTGTGAACACCAATAATATTCGGACTATTTACAGAATCCCATCATTACATGGAGTAAACAATTCCTGTGATTTACAAAATATCCCAGTTTTTTAAAGTCTCTTTCTAAACAAACGAGTAATTCACAACCATAGCTTTTAATCTTGAATATCATTATTGCAACAAAAAACAAAACTATGTACATGACAGGTTCATATGAAAATCTAGAACCAATCTAAAATGCTACTAGAAGGAACATTATATTGTTGATATCTGGATCTTCAACGTCTAACACAAATTTTTATAGACTACATTCGTGTGTGCTAAAAATATGCAAGTATGATTATAACCATATGTATGTTTTAAAGAACAAAACAACCAATACATCTGGTAGCAAAACGTCTAGTAGCAAATATTACATTTCTATTCATACTTCAGTGGCGGATCCAGAAGTTTTCATAAGGGGGGGGGGGGGGGGGAATCTCTGACTGCCATAAGAGGGGCCCCGCTCCAGTCATGCTTCAGTGGTCCCTAAATAATCAACAAAATGTTTCCCACAAAAGGGGGCCCCGGCAACCTGGCCCCCTAAATCCGCCTCTGTACTTAACAAAGAAAAGGACCGAACCTGAGTATGGGTTTACTTCAGACGAGTGACGTTCATATATCCATAGGCGAATTTAGGGGCCATTTGAAAAATGTTTTTACCGTGAATACTACTATTTTCCGTGTCTTCTTTCAATGAAAAAGGTGTAATAAGGTTATGTTTTTTTCTGAAACTTATACGAAAGGCATTCATTATTATAAACTGTCAATACCGCTGAAGGTTAGTTTCATGTCTACTTACAAGAACAGAAATAATAAAGTAAACTAAATCAATGGTATGTTCGAGAAAACTAATGCAAAATGAAGAGAATTGATTGATTGATTGTTTTATGTTCAGTGGCAAATATTCCATACATGTTATGTTCGAAAACAAATTGACAATTAATACAAAAGATAGTTCCTGCAATAGGGGTTCGACCGGAATGAAAGGAAGAACATTTTGAAAGATATTGGAAATGGGGATATATAAGGTAAGGCAAGAATTTATATAAAGCCGTGCAACAGGTCACAGTCGGACTCCTCAAAGAGTTTTTGCCAGGGTTTTTTAACGGGCAAGGAGCGTGGCACTATCTCTTTACACGAGACATCAGCTATAAAGTTCCCATTGGCAATAAAGTTTCCATTCTGACCGAACATGGCTGTTAATTTATACATCCCCATCAGACAAATGGACACCCCGCTTTAACAATGGTTTGAATGCCAGTAGTCAAAAGACCAAATTCATGTGAACGCCTTGGGTCAAATGAAGACAAGAGTAAACTATATAATATGAATGTTTAACAAAATAATCATTACGAATGTTAATTAAACAGGACACAAAAGGACATCTCAAAAGATCCAGGATTTTTGAAATGGGGCGTAATTCCTGACAATTAATATATACTGAAGATACTGAAAAAAAAATTGGACGGTTTTAGTTTGTAACCCGGATTTTTTTTCTCTCAATCGATTTATGACTTTTGAACAGCGTTATACTACTGTTGCCTTTATCTATACTAAAAAACATGATTTAAAAAAAAAAAAATTGGCCACCAAGTTGAGGGGCGTAAGCCTTCTTCTCCCCCTGCATCCACCACTGGTAACTGATATCACATTATTACTATATATATATTATGTGTCAAATGGATGCGTACGAACAATTGTATGATCTATACAAATAATAATGTAAACACCCTATTAGAAAATATTTCAATCAAATTATTAACATTCGTTTGTTTGTATTTTTGATTGAATATTTTTGACATACATGAAGCTGTAGTATAAACAAAATTTATGTTAATTGCAGAAAATGATCAAACGTTTGTATCCGATATGAAAGAAACTGGAATATATCACAAAGGCTTGCGTTTCCACCATCTAGAACAAATAAGTATATATTTTCCAGCAATGCATGTTGATTGCCTAATAATCGTGTATGCAAATAGAAAATACGTGCGAGAATTTCAAAAATATGTATAAGGTATGACTAAAATATGTATAAAGATATAAATAATGATCTGAACAGCAGTTTAAAAAAAAGAAAAAAAACAACATCAACAAAATCTACAAATACCTAACCTCTTTAAAAACAATTCTACAGATTATCAACTCATTGAGAAAATAACAAAACACTGAAAATTCTACATACAGTCGTCTTAAGTCAGTATGACTTTCAAAAACAATGGTTACCTCCAAAACTGTTCCATACGGTCAACGCATAAAAACTAGAGACATAAGGATGCATAACCAATTATTAGCACCGTTCATATAATGGATGTTTTTTTTTCTTCAATAATTCAACCATCTCAGAATGTGTTACTGTATTATTAAATAAAAGTTTTTTTTCTAAAAAAATAAATGCAGAGGTAAATATTAAATAAAAATTTATGAAAATAGATAAGCTATTAGACTCAGATATTTGGTCAGTTATCAGCTCAACACAAGCACGTTGTTGCATTTGAATTAAGTTGTTGATCATATTCCAATAAAGAATAAAAATTCTAAATGATAATTTATGCTTATATTATTTTGTTCAACTTCATGAATGAAACTTAAAAATATAGAGAAAAACATAATTTCGCTTCGTGGAATACTTCCCTCTTCTGTTTAATAAATATAATAACATGTGCTTTTGTATACCCATATTAAATCTAATATGTATCAGAAGCACCTTTGGGTGCCCTATTTAAATATTTAGTGAAAGAAATGTAAAAGTATTCCCCAATACAACTGAGGAAAAAACTGCAAAAACAGATGATAACAATCGAAAGAAATAACAAAATAGATTACCTTAAAACTGGTACTGAAGTTTCCCTAAGTCTAATAAACAATTCAAGGAAAAACAATGCCAGACTTTCTGAAAGTCTTCGTAGGGTTTCACCGGGAATGAATAAAATGACTAGGGTAAAAATGAGAGATCAGGAAGTGCACCTAAAGAGAGATCCTAATTATATAAATCAGGATGTCCACCTCAACGGAGATTCTAATTATTTTACAGTTCATACATTGGCACCCATTCATCACACAGTAGAATAAAACATATTTTAACACTTTCTGTTTTGTTGTAACCTATACAGTATTTTTCCCGATTGGTTCGTTGTTTATTTCTTCATTACCTTTATTACCATTCCCTGTTTCAGGGAGAATGTTATTGTTTTGTTTATCCGGACATAATTTGTCAAAATGAAATAAATGTCCCCGGACTGAATACGAATATCTTGCATAAAATATCCAGCCCATACAAACGAAGACAAACGATATCAGGACTAAGAGTCCAAATTCTTGTGGGTACGGTGCAAGGATGACCATTAAGAATTTAAGCATGTCCATAAGTTGATTCAAAGAACGCTGGATACCACTTATAATTCCTCGCTCAGTCTCAACAACTGCTTGTAAGAACATCTGTGTGATGGTTAAATCAGCAATCCATAGTCCTGGAATTATATATAACAAATGTATGTATTTTCTATCAAATCGCAAATACCAAGTAGTTACAAAATTCTAAATACATATAACAATCATAATGATAATATGTAAATCATAAACAAAATAAGCATAGTGATCTTGAATGCCAATATAAAGTTCCACGTGTTTGGTATATGAAAATTATGCTTGCTAGTGCAAAATTATATGCAATTTAAATTTGGATCATATGATTATAAGAAATGTGCATCGCAGAAGCATTCCTGATTACACATTTACAAGATTATCTATATAATAAGAGTGTTGTTAACTGGTAAAGTATACGAGACAAGATGTAACATGGAACTTTAAACATTAAATAATCCATTACATACGACAGTTTCAGAATTGAAAATTTTGAAAAATAAGAAATATGGCCTAAATTAACATATTTATTTATATTACTTAAGTTTCCAGTATCTACACAATATTCAGTTATTTTATTACCAAGCTAAAGATTAATTGTCTCAAAGAATATATATTTACTTACCAAATCTAGCAGTAATCAGCCCTCCAAGAAATAACCCAATGGATATATATGATGTTGGATCACTTGATTCCTGACTAGTGGGCATAGTTTCATTAACTGTCAAATTACTAACAATACTAGTTGGCAAAGTTACAGTAACTGTCAAATTACTATTGATAGTATTGTTATCGATTCCAAGTACTGAAGAAACAATACTGTTTGAACGGTCATTTTCTCTCGTTCTGTACAAGAGATCAAATGGGCTACCTGGAGCAAATACGGATGCTACGCAGAAACAAAGGCTAAATATTTCAAATCCAAGCCCAAACAGTCCTGTCCGTTCCAAACCTATTCTCTTCTGGATCCTTGGATAGGCAAATGTGCCCGCGATGCCAAATATAGACCCTGCAGCCATCATTACACCAAGAAGAGATTCAGATATTCCTTGAGCATACGCATATCCTGACATTAAAAAACAACAAACTTTAATTATGATATTATAAGACAAAAAAATCTCTTTTCTCTTTGGCTAAAGCATACGGAGTCTTCTTTGATTAAAACATTATACTCACCACAAGAAATGTGACGAAAGGTTAATGTAAGATCTGGAACAGCTAACGTGTACCTAAATATAGATGTTCAAAGGCAACGTCAATGACGTAGGTTTATGACGTCATACAAATTCTTGTTTTTTCTTTTTCTTCTTCTGTCTTGTTTTCGGTGTAATTTTTTTCTCTTCTGAGTGTTTTCGGTGTATTTTCTTTTAGTAAACTTTATTGAATATTTCAACTTATAAAAGTTAAAAACTGCAAAAGCAGATGATATATTTTAATAGTATAACAACAAGGAGCAGTTTAAAATATCTTGAGCAAATACTAGAAAATTGGAGGATAAACTCATATAATAAAACAATTGTTGACTTTTGATATCAGTTGATACAATGATTTATCAACACAAGAGATATGATATTCACCCTCGGCCGTTGGCCTCGGTGAAAATCATATCCCTAGGGTTAATAAATCATTGTATCAACATCATCACAAGTCAATAATTGTATAATATTGTGTAATTAATTAACTGTGACATATATTTATCTTGCCATATTCTTTTGATATTTGGACGTCACGAAACAGGCGACACTGCCTGATGAACTATCATAGAATGAAGCAATTTTGTAACGAGTTTTGTAACAGTTGGCCACCAATGACGGTTTACTATTGTTGAGACCGTTTACGGCTCATTGCTGGAAAAAAGATGGTTTAGTAGCGAGTCTTACGTAGACAAAATGCATGTCTTGTACCAAATTATAAGCCTGGTAATTCTGATGAGTTGTTGTATTGTCAGTAGAACAGGTAGCAGAAACAAATTAAAGCAACAGTATTAAGCCCAATGTTTAATTCTGCAATTTCAAGGATTAATGGCTACTTTGTCTTAAGTTCCAATAAAGTGGCTGTCATTTCATGTCAAAAGTATACCTTACCCTGTATTGTGCTGAAAAATTCAACATACCTTAAATTGCATATTAGAGCGCACTGGTTCCCGGAAGTTTGGTAGTACAAAAACCGGTATTTCTGATCTGAACAACAGGTCAAATTTGCCCTCCTTTTATAATTTCATATATTTTTTTGGTCAATTAAAAATAAACTTCTACAGTGATCCCAAGTTTTTTAAGCTTTCATTTGATACCAAAATTACCCAAATATTTTACTTAGTGACAAAGTTACAGCTATGCGTAGGAACTATTTTGCTTAAATAAAACTATTTATTTCTTTCTTGCATGTTTTTTTTCTGACAGGGCCTGAATAAGTAGTTCCATACCTTAAACTGAAATGACCCATTTTATCCAAAAGAACAACCCTCACCCCAAAGGAACCATAAAAATAATCAATGACATGGACATGTGCATACAGTTTCTAATCACATCTTTTTCCATATATGTACTATTAATGTAAAATAAAGATATGCACAGCTATCAGCACCTTTATTTGTTTTAATTATTTTTTTTATATTCTTTCCTATAGTAAAATATTGTACATATCTTAAACCAAGTTAATTATACATGAAAACTCACCAACAGTAATACTATCAAAACCTATCACTGTCATATATAAAGATGCTAATCCCAAACCAGCGAATGCAACATCATACTTCATGTATGTTTTCCATCCTCTAACTAGCAAAATAAAGCTTTTAAACATCTTATATAGACATGGATTACATGCGTCTTTCTCTACAGAGTTATCTTCCTTTGTTGTGTCGTCTTCATCTCTTGATGGTCTGATACATTTCTCTGTCTTTTCCTGTGCTATATTTGATGCTTGTGATATTTGTTCTTGCTGAGATTTGTCATCGAGTTGAATGCCTTCATCCGTAGACAGCAATTCTGCTTCATCGGCGACTACTACAAATAATGTAAAATGTTTTTATTATGGTTGTAACCATTTGAACATCAGCTTGCTGTAATTGCAACTTCAACATCATTTTCATTTGTAATGTGGTCTGATCTTTATAACTGATTTTCCATATTTACATTATGCAATTCAGAAATAAATTTTAAAAAATAAAACAGAAATCGTCTTTTATTTGTCAAACTTGATTCCCACTGATAAATATTAGAGGAAGATAATTCAATAAGTATTATAACAACAAAACCACCTTTTTTACAATACCTTTGTCTTTTCTCGTTTTGAACATTTTACTCTTAAGTGCAGGCACTTCCATGTACACTTTCCATATTAGGAAGTACTCAATGAAGACAGAAACCAGATTCCATCCTGCTATAAAAACTGCCGCATATTGTAAAGCAATGAAATAAACTATTTGTCCAGTGGCTACAGGTGATAAAATGGCTGTGGTTAAATCAATTGCTCTCATCCTAGAGGTCATTGCTGCAAACATAAAGAAACAATGATACAATGGTCAGCTTAAGGCGAGACATGCAATACCTTGATAAAAATCATCATTCCATGGACTGTGCGTTTTTACCCAGAGTTCTTTTTTTTCCGAATTAGATGTAGTAGTTTCGACTACAATATGTTAAATAAAAAAATACACGGAAATTATATGAAAAGTTCATGGAGAAAAGAAAAATAATAACAATGAAAACGAATAAACAGTAATAACAATATTTTGAATAGTTAAAAATACAAACACAAGACAGGCAGTCTCTGTCAAAAGCAACTCTTATCTAACTAAAGGCACAATCATGCAAGTTAAAAATACAAACACAAGAAAGGCTGTCTCTGTCAAAAGCAACTCGTATTTAACTACAGGCACAATCATGCAATTCTAATTCATCTAAGATGCAATGAAAAATATTAATTCACTCTTAAAGTATTTAAACAACCACTTACTAGCTAATAGATCTTTATCTCTCCCGCATATTTCCACGATCCAATCCCTCTCCACCGATATTGACCGCGCAATGCTGGCAAGATCGCCAAGAATAGCTACCACTATAATAAGGGCATGAAAAAGTGTCAATGCACCTTCGTCGGGCCATAATGTTCGTAAAGTTTCATGATACCACACCACAACAAAAACAATACCTGCACATAATGCTACTAAAATATTCTGTAGAACTAGTGATAGTCTTGCAGCTGAAATCAGAAAAGATAATACTTTTGATGAAAATGATGGCATTTTCTTTAAAGTATTGCCTACTGCACATGACAAAGTAATATGTTAGTAATTCATAGGTTACATTTCATAATTATTGTCTTTTGATTTCCATTGCTAATGAACAATTTCTCTCATTCTGGGTATGGATCGCCGATTTTCTCTCTGTCGCTCAGTTTTTCTACTAGTCTAACATTTTTCAATTATATCAATGACAGAAGACTGTTGAAAAAGAAAGGATAAAAAACTCTGTACAAAGAATGCCAAGATTGGAGATTGGTTAAGGCTTCGTAAATAGTCTGTTCAGTTTTTTCTTCAGTTTATGATATGTTTGAAGGATCAATATCGGAAACTGGTACAAATATCCACATCATTGAAATGTAATCTACATTATTGTTAACATATTGTTTATTATTGTAATTTTTTAATTGAAGGAAATCACATCGGTGCATGTCTCGTGGTAGCGTGCTTACCTCGATTGCGAGAAGTCGTGGTTTCTGTCCGGGCCTGAACATTGGTATTTGTTAAGCACGCGGCATTTAGCAATAAGAGCAAAAACTTGTCGGCTCGGATTTAAAATAATGTATTCGGGTATAGTTACACGACTCTCTGCGGACTGTTACTAGTACTTTGTGATCTATAGTACGTTGCAACTCCGGTTCAGCGTGTTGGTTTAGTAAAGCAGGGTTTATAAAGCGGCATAACTCATGAACGGTAAAAGTGACGCCACCCAATTTCGAATTTGATCTGTGTTTTGTGGTAATAAGCATTGTGTGTAAGTTTTATAACATTTGGTTGAGGCTAACTAAAGTTAGAAAACGGACACCAATTTTGGGGACGTACGCAAAGGACGGGACGTACGGACAAGGGTAACACTTAATGCCCCCTCCGCTATGGCGGAGATATAAATAACAAAACACATTGAAATGGTTCCGTCTTTTACTTACGCAGATAAGAAGACAAAAGATTAATACAAACGCCAGTGGATAGGGGGGGGGGGGGGGTGGTTTTAATCAGACTGTCACACGTGTCAATAGCTAACTTACCGTTTCATTAACAAGAGGTGTCGTTTCTAAATATTTTTTTTAATTTGCAGGAAGTTCAAGATATATATCTTGTAACTTTAATATATGTTTAGAAAATTTGTCTAGCTTATAAATAGAAGGTTCAAAATTTTTATCAAAATAAACAACAACTTAGTTCTGATTAATTCGTTTATTAATAGTGTTAGGAATATTTCATAGACATTATTTCAGTAAATTGAAAATGAAATTGAATTGTCTATCTTACATTAATATTTCTATTCTACCATTTCCTTATTGTGGTATGTAGCTCTTAATATTGATAAAGTGATAAACACAAACTTTTTTCATCCACAATACAAATATTTGTGTAGGCATTGTGCCAAGTTCTCGGCCCTTTAAAGAAAGTCTGTAACAGTTACTTGAGAAGTTCGTACGTGACATGTTGCAAAGGGAAAATGTGTTTCCCTGACGAACATATTTTCTTTTTTAAGAGACAGTTTGCCTTTCCCGACTTCATAGAGATCAACCCATTTTTGGATTAAGATTGAGTGTTAATTTGTTCTCGTCATAAATATGCATGTCACTTGACGGTAAACAAACAACAACAATCAATTAATTAATCAACGATAGAATTAGAAATTTAAGCTACTTCTATTGTTTTATTTAGTCGACATGTGTCTGACGAATAAAGAAATGAAAAAATGCACCATCTACGTACCCCTAAGTCTTGGCGTATTATCAATCCAGTCTCCAATTATTGCCGCAAACAGAAGCACAGATGCTCCTTTGGAAAACCCATAAATTGCTACAAGTCTTAGTGATCCTGGATTAAGTCGTATTAGAAATAATCCAACACCAAACGACCACATTCGGTCGCCCTGAATATATAAAAAAAAATATCAACAGTGATTTTTAACTATTACTTCGGTTAACCAAAAAAATGCGGGGTTTTCCGTCTACACATAAACAACTAGAGGATGCTGATGGGAACCACTACATAGGCCCCCGTAACAGTAAATATGTAAATTGTGTTGCACTTTCAGAATAAATAAATGTTTTTCTTTTTCATTTTTTATAATATTTTATACCAATTGACGGCAGAAATATAACTGATACTGCAAGGGATTCAAAAGTGTTTTTTTTTTAAATGTGCCTATGCACAGTGGTGACTTATTAAACTAACTTTTTGACAATCACTTAAAATATGTGTTTTTTTTTCCTTTTACGATACAAATCTTTTAGTCGAAGTGAATAATCATACAAAGATTCATTACCCAAATTTATTGGTAAGCGGAAACGTTTTTGTGACGGACACACGGACGGACAAACATGTTACTATAGGCCTTCAGTCGACTTATCGGCGTAGCCGTCATTAGCTATCGAACCCCCACCTGTAATACCTTCTTACCTTTTTTGAGTATATAGATTTTAACATATTATTATCCAAAGCAGAAAATGCACCACATGCATGAATTTTACCATACGATATTAATAATTATTTTTCAGTTTCTAAACTTTTAAATCCACAAAATATTATATATTGAATGTAATTATTTATACAAATTTATTATAAGAAACAATTCTTAAAATTATGTGTACAATTGTATTATTATATACTGCATGTAAAACTTTATAATGTTGTTTTGTAAATTATCATATTATTTGTGATGGAGAACACTAGTGTAATATTAGTATCTTTAATAAAGAATCTAAACCGGATATCTAAATTTCATCTTAAGAAGCTGGAAATTGACATGGTGAATATAGTTTGCTCAATTGCAATCAAACAGATCTAAGTACTTATTTGTTCATACTGATAACTTAGTTCAGCAAGGATCTTACTACCAATACACTATCTCGTACATACAATAGTAAGTAAATACCAATAAAATGAACACCAATACATGAAAACCACCTTCGTATAATAGAAAACCACCATCGTATAATAGAAAAGCACCTTCGTATAATAGAAAACCACCATCGTATAATAGAAAAGCACCTTCGTATAATAGAAAAGCACCTTCGTATAATAGAAAAGCACCTTCGTATAATAGAAAACCACCATCGTATAATAGAAAACCACCATCGTATAATAGAAAAGCACCTTCGTATAATAGAAAACCACCTTCGTATAATAGAAAACCACCTTCGTATAATGGAAAACCACCTTCGTATAATAGAAAACCACCATCGTATAATAGAAAAGCATCTTCGTATAATAGAAAAGCAATAAAAAAGACACATAAGACAGCTATGGCGTTCCATACATGTCCCTTGCAAAACAGCTACATACAGATCAATATCATCATCAAGACGTCATGCCGGAAAAGAGTATACACCTATGAAGCTATCGGACACGAACGGAAATTGACTTATACAAAACAAGAAGCAAGCCAACCAAGTTGAAAGCACAATTACATGCTAAAGCAAAGTCGCAAATATAAGACTGATTTGAACACCGATGAAAGGCTCGAGGAAAACTTTCGGCAAAAATATTAAGGACCCTTGTGGATCATATACATTTGATTTTGCACCTGTGATATCACTTCATACAACAAACGCATAGAACTGATAAAAGTCGAAAACTATGACTACCGTACTTAATTAACACATTTGGTTTCAACTTGAAATATACGCACTATTAAAATAAAAGAAAACACAAAAACACGCCGAAAGACCAGAGAATTAGCAGACAAATTTATTCAGATGAAAAACAAGGTTAAAATAGGAAAACAACACTTTATAAATTTCATATGTCCGAAGCGCTTTTCTGGATTCACCTTCATCAGGAACGCTCAAATCCTAATATAAAGAGATAAACACTCATATCGACAGTCATTCTCCCAAAATTTCAAACAACCTATAATTATATGAAAACCAGGGGCTATACGCTCTGACACTCAGGCGACCAAAAGATTAACACTGTGGCTCGCGGCTGATCTTTAACGATATTAATGTGTACAAAACACGATAATATATACGTATGCTGCTTGTAAGTCCGTCAGTAAATATTTCTAATATGTTTGGCCTCTAGATTTCTTTAGATTTCCTTTATTGAGTTTCTGTAAAAATTGAGGTCTTCTTTTATTCTTATTGTAACTGTCTCTTACCCATGCAGAAAGAAAGTGGCTGACATATACATATAACTTTGTCTTTAGTGGCAATTTCCATTTATCTGAAAAAAGGAGGTTTATCCCATATATACATTGTATATTATATCACAAATGTTACGCTTTTTCGGGAACCTGAGGCTATGATTAAGATATATTAACGATTTCAAGGATTTTTATGAAATTTTGCATGCAACTAAAGCCATTAAACTGCATATGAATATCGAAAAATCGTTCAGAAACTAATACTTAAGCAAATTATATTTAATATCTGGAAAAAAGGTGTTATAAAGATTTGTTCTGGTATACGATCAGGCACAGCAGATGTGCTAAAAGAATGAGTAACATATTTACAATAACAAACAAATATGTGGCCATCAATTAAGGCCCGAACAATTAAACATACACATTATTGTTAATATACACATTCCTTTATAAAATTGTGCAACAGTAAAGCTATCATCATACTATTTATTAAAATACATATTTTTGGATATCTGAAAATAATTACGATACATTACTTGATATTACACATTGATATTAAAACTCTCATTGTTTGTTCTCTTGTATGTTGATGATTTACCTGTAAAATTTACAATGTATATGCATGAAATGATTTACAACTCCAGCTGTTTACAGGTCCACAGGGGATAGACGTAGTTGTCCTATCTCCTTAGAGAATGACTTTCTACTACACTAACAAGGTAAAATATGGACAGCCTGGCTAACAAGATTGTGACATATTTATATCAATGCATATTGAATACATTTGGAAAGTTGGAACTACCAACAGATTCTCCCCGAACCGCACATTTATTGAGAGAAAATTAATCTAAATGCACTATACATATGATCTGTCTTGTATTTCAAGGGGTCAAATCAAAGAACTAGCATGGATGGAAGAACACATAATTTTGTTTTCATATAACATTTTCCAAAAACGTGACATAGCCAGGACTACATGCTCCAGGGTATACCAAAAGTCAGAAACTAAACATATTAATTATCTCCAGAGTGTCAAATCGTCAATATACAGAAAACGGTTTTCGAAGCATCCATTTTAAAGAAATTGGTCGGGGCTTCCCCATGCCCTTTCATTCCCCTTCATGTGTGGTGAAACAATGTTTTCATAAAAAATAAATAAAAAAGGTAACATTTTAAAGACTTTATGATCCTTTTTAAGATACCAACTGTTTTTCAAGAAGTAACCTTGACCTTTTGACTCCAAATTTGATAGGTGTCTTCCCTTCCCTTTATTTTCCATCTCTGTAATTTTCAATCCAAACAGATTAGGGAAACAACTCAAGTGACCATCTGAAAACCAGTTTTACAAAAATCTATTTTTAGTCAATGACCTTGAACTTTAATCTATTTATTAATAGACTAACAGTTACTTTGAATTTTGACCTATTGACTTCAAAATCGATAGAGGTCTTCCACTTTCCTGTATCTTCGCTCTTTTGAAGTTTCATTCCAAGTAGGAAAGTGAAACTTAACTTTCCATCCGCACACCATTTTTTGTCTAAGAAATATCTATTTTTAGTAGCAGTGATCATGAACTTTGACCTATTGACCCCAATATCAAAAGGCTACTTTAGTCTTCCATCTGTATGCATTTCATGCCAACCTAGTAAGGGAAGCAATAGTTACCATCTGGCAATCATTTTTTTGCAAAATGAAATTTATTTTGTAACAGTTACATGTACCACTAATCTTATCCTATTGACCCCTTTAATCAAGGCTGTTTACCTTTTACATTCTTCCATCTGTATAAGTTCAATTCCAATCAAGCCACAGGGGTCAGGAATCTTATTTGAGAAGTAATATGTTCTATACACAATGTAGTATTTTCGTTGGGTACAGAGCACATTACGTTCGAAAACAAGATTCCCGAACCCCAGTGATCAAGCAAGGAGAACAGGAGTTACCATCCAGATATCATTTGTTTCAGACGAACTGATGGACAGACAGACAACTTCGTGCTCCCGTATTTTTTTCAGGAGCATAATATTAAAGTATAAAATATGTGATAGTCTTGTCCCTGTGACGATGAAACACATGCATTTATTATATTATTATTAAAATTTAAGTCATAAAAACTCACAGTTACTAAAAAGAAAGGAAAAATCAACTTACCATGCAATGGCATTGTGTCGACAAGCTGGATTTGGTCGGGTATCAGTTGGTTTTTGTAGGTGAATATGAGTAAAGTATAATTTTTTACTAATCGGCAGGTTTGTTTACAAAATAAATCAGAGTCGTGTTTGCGCTTAAAGAGAAATATAATATTAAAGTCAAGTGTGTGTATTTCTAATCGATGATACTCCGGGATTTGTGAAGTTTAAATACATGTAACTTAGTATGCAATGGCGAAGCTTCAATTTAAGCAATGAGGCAACTGCCTCGTTAAATTTCTGCCCACAAATAATTAAGGAAGGAGCAAGTAGTATTTCGTAGTATAGGATTGTTCTAAACATTCGACTTATCCAGCGTTTACACATATCATAGTATTTCTCCCTCTACTCTAAAGCCTGACTATTCAAACAGATATATTGTTTAGCAAGAAACAAATATATTATTTCAAATACATATCAAACAAGAAGTTCTGTAAAACTGGTAACAGTAAGATGCTAGTATCAGATGCAGATCCTGGTTTTTGAAAAAGGGGGACCGCGGGCAAAGTTTAAAGTGGAACTGGTAAAAAAATCTGAAATAACCTTCAATGAAGCACCATAAGGGGGCGGGCAACCGTCCCTCCTAAGTCCGCCTCTGAGTATTTATTGACAACACATTTGTTAAGTTTAATGAACATGTTATTCAACAGAAATTAAGTTAGCATTCCTATTGGAACAACTGTGCTCCTTTTCTCATGTACCGACTTATTCTTTTATTTGAATGGAAAAAAAGCCAACACTATCCATCATGTTTCCCTATGTATATACTGTTATCTCACTGAATAAATGTTGGTGTCAATGTTGAGCGTAGATTCGTTTGAACTTTGAATAAAGGATATCACATATACAGTTGGTTACAGTTTTAGTTTAATTATTATCTTGAACAAAACGATGGGTTCGACTTGTGGAGCCGGAACAGCTTACCCAGCCGATGCATCTGATTGAGCTCCGTTTTTTTGTGTGGTTCGTGTTTTTGAATTAATATTTTTGTCATGGTTGTATGTCTTTTGTGTTGGATAATTGTGTGTCTGTTCCGTGTCTTATTTTTGTGTCGTGGTGTGGTTTTCTTCGACTTATTGCTCCTTGTGTATCGCCTCCACTTCTTAAGTAAACAGATGGTGTGTATGGTGACTATAAATACAAGTGCCAAGCTTCCACACAACGACAAATAATATCATTACAATAGACCCTTATTTGCAAAATTGATAGCACACATTTTTTGCAAAATCTTTCATGATAAATGACGAGTTAAAATATTTGTATCCATGCAGTATAAAAATGACGCCAAGGGTGAAATATGGTAACGTTGAATTTTACCGTCCGGCAGTAAACCATTGCCGAGGGATGTCGTCTGCTGGGCTATGTGGCATGTACTTATACATACGCAGATACTTCTGGTCAGAACTTGACAATAGGTAGATGTCTCGTGTAGGGAGTGTGCACGTTAAAGAACCTTTGCGACAGATCATTTGAGGAGTGCCTATACGTTCTTCCACTATCCAGCATATCCTTTTTTAGTGTCAGACCGAATTTACGCGCGTTCATCGCAGTCCTCCATTTTAGCAGGACCTACCTACTGGTCGATGTATTGTTGATTTGTTTTAGTACTGAATATGGATGAAATATTTGACACTGAACGTTAGGCAAACATAAAAAAAAATCGCCTTTTTATATCTAAATATCAAACGACATGGGCATGGAGACGAGTTGGGTTACATATACACCGAACAAAGGCCAAAGAACATCACCGTCCAAAATAGAAAATTACGATGAAGAATGAAAATATTGTATTTTTCGTCGTTATTTTTTTGGTTTAAACTTTCCCGGGTGTAACTTGAATATGCAAATCTAGAAAAGGACAATTATTGTTGTTTTTTTATGTCAGATTTATTTAAAGGAAGCAGTGTAATTATAGAAATTATTGCAGATTATAAATATAAAAATATAAAGGTAACGCCCACTTACGATAGGTGGTGCTAAATTTAGCAATTAGCCTAAGTGGAATTTAGACGGACCTTTACTGAGTCCGGCCATATAATTAGCTGTGATTCATAACGATACAGGAACAAGTCTGCTTCTAAAGGGGTGCAAATGGTTTCCATAAGAATACCTGCAGTCTATCGATCAACGTACGAAAACGTACATACATGTTGTAAAGTAGAACAATTGTTATATTTCCTCTTTTGTAAATTTTGAATTTCCAATTACCAAAATAGGAAATATAACACAATTTAAACTTTAATCATCCTAGCACAGTTCCAGTAAGTATATATCAATAGATATAAGAAGATGTGGTATGAGTGCCAATGAGACAACTCTGCATCCAAGTCAAAATTTATAAAAGTAAACCATTATAGGTCACAGTACGGTCTTCAACACGGAGCCTTGGCTCACACCGAACAGTAAGCTATAAAGGGCCCCAAAAAATTACTAGTGTAAAACCATTCAAACGGGAAAAACAACGGTCTAATCTATATCAAGCATATTTACCTCTCTCATAAAAGAAGAAGGCTTTATATAAGTTGAAGCAAATAAACTTGCAATCAGATTTTTTTATTGGACAATTTAACCTAAATAAGACAAAAACTTATGTTTGGTAAGATTGTGTGTTAGTGTAGTGTAGAGAGTAAAAATATCCTAACCTCAACCGAATTAAAAGGGCCATCAAAAGCACATAATTTATCTTGAACCTCCCAAGATCTGTTAACACTCCAAAACTAAATTAATTCAGTTATTTTCAAAAAGCTTTATTACAAAAATTAATAGTATTAAGTTCTTTAATTGTAGTAAGGGAATGAGTTAAAATCACAGAAAGATTAGTTGTAGAAAACTTACTAAAAGCCGATATGAAACGATTTTTGACGGGTTTATGTGTAGGTTATGTGTAAAGCCAATACATAGTAGATGTCTCTCAATGTTCAGAGGAGGCCTTAAGCTGAAAGGTACTGATATGTTTGTCTATAACGACCCCCTTTGGAGCGCACGGCCTTGAATTTAGAATTTAGAATTCCACTTTTGTAAAAACTTCCGTGTAGCACTACCGCTTATACGTGTATATGCATTTTTAGTCGCTGCATGTGGGTCGGTTCGAACACAAACCGCTTTGCGAGTACTTGAAGTTTGTTTCCAATTCTAGAAATAGTTTCAGAAACACTTCTTTTGATTTCTAAATTAATGACCAAAACGTGATGTGAAGGTTTTACAGTTAACCTGTAGTCTTTAACCACACCCATTGAACGTAAAAAGCAAACAACAAATTGAACAATCAATCAATCATTAATCACAGAATGTATCTACATTTTACGAAGTTTTGACAAAGTTTTGGATGTGTAAAAAATGTAATCCTAGACTGTGTGAAAATACTACAAAAAAATTAGTTCCATCATATCGTAACAATACAAACAAATGGTAGGGGGGATAAAATTCACAGCGTCGTAGATATAAATGTTAATTTTAGGGTTTAAACGAAACTTTAGCGTATTTCTGAACAGGTGGAAAGTTTATAAATGACTAAAGATGGACCAAAACTAAATTTGATTAAAATCAGATCTTTCACTTTCCTCCATTAGATTTGGTTGACACGGGCGGTACTGAAATTTTGATAGATCAGTTGGGCAAAATTTTATTAATAATACTGTATAAGAAGGACATTCCTAACCGTAACTAAATTTCAATTGGAAGTTAAGCTATGGATTGTCGTTCAGGTTCATTTTTTTTCATCGATCGTAGTTTGGAAAACGATCACTTTCTCTAAAATTTTACTAAAATGTGTGAAATTTGCAATGTTGACTGTCTTCATTAACAATATACAGCCATGAATGATGAATAGCATTTTCATTTTAATGAAAGAGCACTCGAAAGAGGTAAACATATTGACAACTTGTTGGAAGTATATTATATCTGGGACATAAAAAATATATAGTTTAGGTGCTATTCCCGGCCAGATCATATAGATTTTTTTTAATATTCCCTAGTTGCTTTAACAGCTTGAAGATCTTACGGGGACCCTTTGATTGAAACAAATAACCGGGAATTTCCCCTTAACTCTTTAATCAACATTTTTCTAGGCATGTCACGGCCTCGGGTAATTTGGAGCTTGACATTATTGATACTTTTCTGTAATAACTATATTTACCTCTAGTTGGGCATATTATTTTGGTTCTATTTGTTGATGGGTTGCAGCATGGAATGACTGACCCCGGAATACATCTGTTTTTTTTTATAACAATATTCGGAAACACCAAAAACTGACCAAAACTGGCTTAACTTCTTAGTGCTACTTTTCTTATTTCCTATAGCGTCTTAAAGTTCGGAATATGCATGGAATATTTTCCGTTGGAAGTTAAGCAACAACAAATCAACAAAATGAAGGATTTCCATAGTAAGTCTTACTATACAATTCTCAAAATCAACTATATATATGTATTTAAATATATATCCTTTTGTGGCGAATAATAATAAAATGTTCATTTTCTGTATTTTGTTGTCTCCTGCTCATGATACAGTAGTAACTAGCATGAATATTTTTTTACCTAACCAGAAACATTCTCTGAGTGTCTTCTCTGACCTATCCAGAAAAAAGCCATATCTTCCCTTTTTCAGTCAGTGTGGGTCTACCCATGCTTAACTGTCACCAATAATACAGCATATACAGGAGTAAATACACTTACCAGTCAGTGTGGGTTTATCCACGCTAAACTGAATGCGTATCCAAAGGAGCAGTACACATATCAGCCAGTGTGGGCTTATCCACGCTAAACTGAACCCGTATCCACCTCAAATAGCAAAGGGAAAGGGAACATTAAATGAAAACACTATTAGTTTTGGTAATTATATCTGCCACCATATACAAGAGTAAACATCCAACATGCTCACATAAAAGTCATGTATGGAAACCAAATATGTTACCACTATACATCTATACACAAACATGGACAAACAATCTGAAAAGATCAATGTTGTCTAAAGCTGATAAAAACAACTCACAGCGCTCAAATGTATACTTATAAAGAAGATCTAGTTTTACTAATAGCAGGAGATATCCAATAAAATCCTGGCCCTCAAAACAGAAATATCACCATACATCCTTGCGACTTGGGTGACAGGCCTGTCACATGGTCATGCGAAGGAGTGTGCTGCGATGATTGCAATATTTATCATCACAGATCAAGGATTGAACTCTGTAGTCAGGACTATGAATTATATACTTCATCGATCAAATGTGCAGTGGATGTGCTGCAAATCTATAATGTAGACTCGTTTACCTACCACAGTTTTGAACTTTATAAAACCAACATGTTCTCATCACTCTCAAGAACCGATTTTTCAATAGATAACGATTTCAATTCATCAGTTTTCAGTCCAGTGCAAAATAGTAGGCCGAAATCCATTGAAAGGAATAGACAAAGTAGAAACAATTAAAAGAGTAGCAACCTTACACAAAGTACCAACTACACTAGTTCAAATGTACTTAAATTACAACCTAGGCTGGTCCTCTCCCTTGCAACATATGGGTATCTCAGAGCCAAACAGATAAAGGACAGGGAATCAGTCTAATTACAACCCAAAGGCAACCTACGTATAATGACGATAAACTGCTGTAGTATCATGGACAAAAAAGCTGAACTATCTGCTTCCATAAATTACATCAAACCAGACATATGTGGTACTGAATCGATGCTCAAAGGAATAAAAGCAGGGAAGCCATTGAAGAAAGATGCAATTAAATCATCTGAAGTTTTCCCAGAAAACTTTAAAATCTACAGAAATGACAGAAGCACTCTTGGGGGCGGAGTGTTCTTAGTAATACATGAAGATATCATTTCAACTGAATTCATTAAACCCGTCACAGACTGCGAAATTGAAAGGTCCAAAATTGAATTGAAAAACAGCAAAGACCTCTACATCGCATCATATTACATGCCTCGTAGAAATATGAAAGACCTAACAAATCTGAAACTTTCCCTAGAAAAGATAACAACAGGAAAACCTAAACATATTATTATTGCTGGTGCTTTCAACTGCCCAGACATTGACTGGACCAACATGGAAATAAAAACAGGAGCTCCAGATAAAGAAGTACAACAGGCACTAATGGACCTATCTATTGAACACGGTCTTGTCCAAATCCACGACAAACCAACAAGAGAGGGAAATCTGTTGGATCTGGTATTCACAAACAACCCGTCCCTTATTAAATCAACTGGCAACTGTACCAGGAATTTCAAACCATGATATCGTTAATACAGACTCATTAATAAAACCATACTACTGTAAGTAACGCCCACAGAAACGATACATCTTTGGAAGAGCAAATTTGGATCAGATAAAAACTGACATCAATATAATAACAAAGGACATCTGTAATCATATAAATGAAATGGCAATAGACAAAACCTGGCAAACCTTCAAGAATAGATTACAAGCATCGATTGACATCAATGTGCCATCAAAAATGATCAAGAAAAAGCACTCAGTTCCATGGTTAAACAGGAAAACACACAAAATGCTCAAAAGGAAAGCAAAACTACATAAACATGCAAAACAAACTTGAAGCTACTAAGAATGTAAACAATTCCAAAATGACTGCAAAGGCCAATTCAGATAAGCAGAATGGAATTACATAAATGACATCATAAATGCAGGATTCGAAAAAAAAAATTGTTCTAAACCATTCTGGAACTATATGAAAGCAAAGAAACAAGACAACATTGGTATAGCACCGCTCAAGTCAAATGGAGGTCTTTCAAACGACAGCAAAGAAAAGGCAGAAATTTTCAAACAACCAGTTCCAATCCGTATTCACAAAATTAGTTCCAAATTCACAAATACCATCGCTGAAAAAGAGAACAACTTCATATATTTCAAAATTGGACGTAACATCGGAAGGCGTACACAAATTACACACCGTCCTAAAAAAACTGCGCAGAAGAACTCGCACCTAGTATCCGTGACTGCCATCTTTCAAAAATCAATAGATACCGGCATCCTATCTGAAGATTGGCAAACATAGCTCCAGTATTTTAGAAGGGAGAAGTCCACGCAACAGAAATTTACATATACCAGTCTCACTGACCTGTGTATCCTGTAAGTTGTTGGAACACAGTATCTGCAAACACATGCTCAAACACCTGGAAAAGCACAACATACTGACAAATTTAAATCACGGATTCAGATCAGGTTACTCATGTACAACACAGCTCTTAGTCACAACAGAAGATCTACTAAAGAGCTTTGACAACAGCATTCAACTTGATATGGCCATACTAGACATTTCAAAGGCATTCGATACCGTGTCAAACGACAAACTTCTTGCAAAGCTAAACAGTTATGGAATAGATGGAAATCTGAAAAATTGGTTAGCGTTATTCCTGCAAAAACGATCAATACTTGTTGTTGTTGAAGGTGAGCACTCAGAATATGCCCACGTAGACTCTGGTGTACCACAATGCATAGTACTAGGACCGCTGCTTTTCCTATGCCACATCAACGACCTACCGGAAAGTATAAAATCCCAAGTTCGATTATTTGCAGACGAGTGCCTACTCTATCGAGAAATCAACACCAAGAAAGACCACAATTTCTCCAAGAAGATCTGAAAGCTCTAGAAGTATGGGCATTAAATTGGGGAATGACATTTAATGCAAAAGAATGTTATATAATGAGCTTTAAACAAAATTCAACACACTTCTACCAACTAGACAACCACATATTAGAGCAAGTCCAAACAAATCCATACATAAGTCTTAATATATCCGATGTCCTGAAGTGGACCAGCCACATAGGGAAAATCACAAGAAAGGCAAGCTGTACACTAGGTTTCCTGAGAAGAAACTTACGCCAATGCCCCCAAGAGTGCAATAAAAAGTAGCCTACTTAGCCATGGTAAGGTCGGTACTAGAATATGGTGCTGTCATTTGGGACCCATTTACCATAAGGGAAATAGAAAAGATAGAAAGCGTATAGAAAAGAGGTGCACGTTTCATCATGCACGTCTATATACAAATCCAGAGAAACAGGATGCGTAACAAATATGTTTTCCAAGCTGGAACTACAACCCCTCCAGGAACGGAGAAAACATCAGAGGCTAACTATGTTGTACAAAGTGGTTGAGGGATTGGTGCCGGCTATTGAACCAACAAACTACCCAAAAGAAATCAGAAACAAATTAAAGGGCATTAGCTGTCAAATTAATGTTAACCGAATTGACTCAAATTCTCATATTTTATTTATAACATACTAAAACGTATATCCAAATTACAAAAAGTCTAAAATAAATAATTAACAATGCATGGACTCGATAATATGTATCAACATGTCATGTGTATATTTGTCTAGACATCATCTAGTTAACAATCGAGATGACCTCCGAAGACTGCCAACGGTCAATTAATCCGATATAAATATAAATATAAGTAGATAGCAACCACGTGCAATTGAATTTGTCTAGGTCTGTTTTATTTCATATTGTAGTTTAAAAAACATATTAGTCATCGTTTTTACCTGTATAAGAATAATATATTGTGGATCGAATCAGTCAACAAAATGGTTCACCCTTGTTGCACTTTCAATGTTGAAATTCTTTTCCTTTTTTTTTAAATAGCTGAATACATGCGTAACCCATCTCCAGCTAAGGGGTTAAATTGAAGGTCGCATGGATACGAATTTAATGAGGTCGAATTATACACTTGCAAGTGAATAATTCATCAGTAAGTTTCTTGGCTTATAAACAGACATCCGTAAGAACTCTTTTTTTTCCGAAAACAATAGTGCGGTGGAACCATCTGGACAGAACAGCGCATGCCAAAAGACAGTTGAGGGATTCACGGCTGCCCTCCAACAGTTAGACTAACCAACGAGCTCTCCTTCCAGTGCGCATATATCCACGATCGGATCCTGTACTTAGTAACATACAGATACAGATATAATCATACAGCAAATTTTACCAAATTACCCCCTCCCCCTTTTTCCATTAAAAAAAATATCAGAAAACTTGAAGTTTGCACAATCTTTTAGCCAATATTATTGGGGAAATGGGCATTTTTTTTCTTCTCCCTCTACTTTTAATAATCATCGTAAATAAAATCGAACTATTAATTTATCATTTAATTATAAAATTACATTTATTTTGGAAATTCAAATGTTGATTTTTTTTATGTTTTCACTGATAATACCTTCTAAAATAATATTAATCTTGATATGATAATTCTGATAATTCCTGCTTAGCTATAATTTTAATTTAAAGATGTTGATATATATTCTTCTAAGGGAAAATATTTTGTTTGGACCGGAAGTATCGACCTCGTGATGCCACGTTGGGCAATGACGTCATATGCAACTGTGCCCACCCCTTCACTGAGCAGTCGCAAAGCGGAAGAAGGAAGCCATTTTGATTCAAGGTTTACAAGTCAAACCTGTTACCGTGTGTTAAATAACTTTATTATCATTTATTGACTGAAAAGAAAATATCTAAATCCATTTATCGTACCATATTATGAGCACAATGAACCCCGAATAGTAAGTATTTCTCCCGAACCCTTATTTATGAAAAAGGTTGTCATACGTCATCAAGAGACGAATCGTGTTTTTCATTCCCCAAACACAGCTGATCGAATGAACGCCCCTCGTATACATCTGTGTACAACAAGAATTACTGAATACCACTTGTGTTCTCGTTTCTGTCAAACAAACAGTTTATACTGACAAAATATCGATTCATCGGTGACCATTTCTGGGGGTTAAAGTCCAAACCAAAACAAATCAAGACTTTAAGAAAGAATATCTTGGGGCATACCCTCATGATTACAATGTAAAACTGTTAAATACACGATGGGACAAAGTTCTTCTATACAAATACTGTCACGAAAAAATTTCAGTTAATTATATTTTGAGGTTTGGCAGACCAGTATGTCCATCTACATGTATGTCAAAGAAGTGGACATAAACAATTTGAACTTCTTCTCTCCGATTTTGTTCATGCACTTATGTGTGTAAATTTTTTCAAACTTCACCTTCAGCTACACTTAAGAATTTATTTATAAATGTTACAATATTGATAGTAACTAGTTTAAATTTTCAATGAATGACAAATGTAAACAAAAAATACTATTTATAGACATGAACTCATTTGTGGTTCCATGTCAGATCTTCCACACAACAAAAATATTTCATGTGTGATATTTAGATCAATTAAAACATATATAAATTGACAGTGTACATTATGTTGTAATAATTAGACTACTTTGTATTCAGAACTATGTGTAATTTGGATATCAGGTATATATTTATTGAATGTGTTTGTTAAAAGTTTAAGTGGATATATGCATGTGTAGATGATTTCATAACATTAAAATTGAATAAAAGGTGAAGCAAATTGTAGCTAAAAATGGGAGGATTTCCTTCACTTGAATGGGACGGATCAGGATATCGTTATTTTGAAATGTATGTCATATATGTACATCTTAGAGTAGTTTAATGCATAATTCATGTTTTTTCAGAGTACTGTTAACAATAACATGATCTTTATGGTAAGAAACGTATCTAAATGAAAAAAAATAGACCAAAACTTTGTTGTTTTGTGTGACAACCATTGCTTAAAATTCTCAATTTTTGCAATTTAAAAGATCAACATGAAAATGACTCCATTTTTTCCTGTCAGACACCGAACTGACAGAGAGCAAAGTTTTAGTGGTTCACCATTTTTTTCGAAATTATGACTTAATTTTTATAATACATGTATATCCTATTATCATGATAATGGTGGAAAAAAAGAGGGACAAAAGATACCAGAGGGACAGTCAAACTCATAGATCGAAAACAAACTGACAACGTCATGGCCAAAAATAAAAAGACAATCAGACAAATAATAGTACAGATGACACAACATAGAAAACTAAAGACTAAGCAACACGAACCCCACAAAAAACTGAGGGTGATCTCAAATGCTCCGGAAGGGTAAGCAGATCCTGCTCCACATGGAAACACGTAAGAAAATTAAATTACAATACAAAAGAAAGAAAGTAATTTTTAGACATGAAAGTAAGTATGTTAATATAAGCTTACATGGCTTAGGGCTTCCTTTTAAAAAATCAATGGGTCTGTAATGTCTGTAGGTCCGAATTTTGATATTTGTAAAAATTTTGAAACTATAGTTTCAAGATGGTTTAAAATCATGGTTTAGACAGAGTCTTGTTCTGGAATTTTATAACTGTTTTAGCCAATTGCAATTTGTCAACGAACAAAATAAACCTTATATGGTCAATTCTGTCACAAATTTTGATTAAATAAGTCGGCGGTTATAACAAATGATTGGTTGTCGAAAGGTTATTGAAGAAATCCTCACAAAACACTATGGCCAGACTCATACTATGTTGTCGATCAGGGAGTCGTGAACTAACAACTTTTCTTGGCCTTATCAGATAAATGTTCAAGTCCTTTAACGTATTGCAGTTGTTTTCATTTTCATAAGCCTACAGCAAATTTAACCCGCCACTGTGACACTAGAATTACTTAAATTAGTTCTAAAGTGACAATTTCTGACAACAATTGGAAAAGGTAAAACAGAAAACGTGTGTCCAATGATTTGACGAATTACCAAACATTGATAGAACAATAACCCTTTTTGTCTGTACGAAAACAGACGGGCTCAAACGTTTGATTATGGAAGTTCAGGAACTATTGCAATGTTGACTGATTTAATTTTTTTTTATAAATGTTAACCTTTTTTTTATGCAATTGAATTTTCTTTGATTTTTTTTCAGTGACTACCTGTTTAAACTGTTACTGATTGGTGACTCTGGTGTAGGAAAGTCTTGTTTATTACTCAGATTTGCAGTAAGTGTTAAACAATGTTCAGTAAACAGTCTTCACCAAAATCTTTTTTAACTTCTAGTCCAAAGACCAATATTCCGACATTTTTCAAAATAAAACGTGTCTTAAAGTTTTGCAAATATTTACTAGTCCAAATTAAATTTGACTAGTCAGGGGCATCAGACTAGTGGTTTATGGTGCAGACTTCAAGTACAAAAAATGTAAATCAGTATTTGATTATACACAAAAAACATGTATATTTTATTGCCATTGGTGGCCTTCGGTTGTTTTTGCTCTTTGGTAGGGTTGTTGTATCTATGACACATTCCCCATTTCCATTCTCAATTTTATATGTCACTCTGCCAACCTACATGTAATTGCAAAGAATGATTTAAGACTTGGAAAGATTGAATATACCCATGTAGTTGTCTTCATGCTATCAGTTTTTATACGCCCGTTTACGGGACGTATTATGGTATACCGTTGTTCGTCGTCAACTTGTCGGACATTAACTCAAAAACGCTTTAACCAATTTGCATAAAACTTTTGAGAATTGTTTATATCTATTGACTTGAGCTCCCTTTCGTTTTTTATAAATTTTAGATTTTATGTTTCTGAGTTATCATGGTTATGGGGTTTTATTCATTAAAAAAATGGGGATTTTCCAGTTTTCGGACAATAACTCAAGAATGCTTTCACCAACTTGCAAGAAATTGTGGTGAATTGTTTGTATCTATTGAAATGAGCTCCCTTTCTTTTAGATTTTACGTTTCTGAGTTGCAGGGTTTTATTCATAAAAAAAGGGGGATTTTCCAGTTTTCGGACAAAAAATCAAAAATGCTTTCAGCAGTTCTTAGGAAACTTTGATGAATTGTTTATATCTATTGATGTAAGCTCCGTTTAGAATTTTATAAATTTTACATTTTACATTTCTGAGTTATGGGGTTTTATTCATTAATAAAGGGGGGATTTTCCAGTTTTCGGACAATAACTCAAAAATGCTGTCACCAATTCTCATGTAACTTTGGTGAATTGTTTATATCTATTGATGTAAGCTCCCTTTACATTTTCATAAATTTCTAATATGACATTGAGAATTAATTGAACTTTAATTGTTTATAGTCTGACAACAGATTTACTAAGTATTGCGCAACAGCACAGTGTATTGCACAACAGCAAGAAATCTTTAATTGAATATAAATTCAATTCATATAACCAATTTCAAGTTCTATGACTACATTTATTCAGAAACCTATAATATGTCAAATATTTAATACAATCAGTGTTCTCCATTTTTCACTAAGGTCAGGTGGGTGTTTGCGAAAAAATTACTTGCAACCGGGTGTTTTTTTTTGTTTTAACATTTCCAACCGGGTTTTTTACTGTTGGAGGGGGTCACAAAAATAAGGATTAGTATTGTATACACATTTGATAAAATTGAACTGTTCTTCTGCTATCACTGCTAGCCATTCATTTGACAAATTTTGCGGATCTCGGATATGGCTTTTGTAGGACTCCCTCTTCCTGCATATGCATAGCTTATCGATCCAAGTTTCTGTCGTGTTCCTCGCTTTAGTGCTGTATTTTTGGAACACAAAGCAGTAATATCCTCCTTTTGTGACGATTAGCCATTTAAAGTCCTGTTCATATTTATCAAATGAGGGGTAACCTCTCAATGTAATGACTATCTCTTTTATGAGGGGTACATTTAATGCGATATAAATGAGCACATATTTATTTTATTTACAGAAAATTTTCCCAAAGAACTATACATCTATTTGGTATTATATGGTCAAAACATGTCAAAAAATTTTGTAATATTCCTGGACTTATATCTTCTTAATCATTAAAAATAGTGGGACCTCCTTTAAGAAAATTTGTCTGAATATAACGATTTTTTCCCCTTTTGGGTTAAAAAATCTAAGTTTTTCTCTTTTCTTTTCTTCAACAGAATTAACATAACCTCTTGCCAGAGAGACAGTCCCTCGTTTAAGGGATATCACTCATTTGGGGGATAGACGTATTTACACTTGTATGCAAATTTGTCCGCCATTATGTAAAATCATACAGGTTCCCGTAAACTTTTCCCAACCTGTTTATCTTCGCGATCGCTTCTCTGCCTTTTCCGTTGTTTTGATACTTTTTATTCCATTTCAACAATTTCAATACAACTATCCGTTTTAGTTGACTTATTTTAGAAATTTCCTTATCACCATAGTCATCTGCCTGTCTCTTCCCCCGATTAATAAAAGAAAACATTGAAATTTGACGATCCGCCATTTTTGTCAATGAAAACAATCAGTGAGGCGCGATTAGTATTTAATTTTTTATGGTGTGGAACCAAAAAAAATCCAAAATTTGAAAAAAAGCCGACCACCTCCTAAAATGAAAAGGTGGTCGGCTTTCAAAAGAAGGAGGTCGGCACACCCGGCTTAAATGCCAAATGGAAAACACTGACAATCCAAATTCAGACCTGTATCAAGCTTGAATATTGTGTCCATTTTTGCCTCAACTGTTCAGGGTTGGACCTCTGCATGCATATCCAGCTGCACTCCGGGAAGCAATTTATTAAATCATTATTTGTCAGACTTTTCAGTTTTCAGATATAATTTAAGCACCACTTGACCATATTTTTATCATACCTTGTCTAAGACCAAAAATGAAAGCTCACGTCTGTTTCTAGTATGGATTTGCCATTTAGTTTTTGAATATTGTCTGCTTTCTTGAAAATTTATTTTTACATGTCAAACAGATGTATATTGTCCATGGACCATGGTGTTCCCAACTTCCATGAGAATATCTTTCTTTATATCACCTTAGAATATAATTGAGGATTTGTATAAAAATTGGTAAACAAAAAAGAAATGAATCCATATTGTCATACTTTTGTCAAATATTTGTGTACTTACTTGTTAGTCCCCTACCGACGAAGTTGAAGAGGACTTTAGGTTTGCATTCTGTCTGTCTGTCCATCCGTCAGTCTGGCAAATCAGTTTTCCACTTTTTTCTTCATGCTTGAAGATATTGATTTGATATTTAGTATATTGTTTTATCATGACAAGTTACAGATCAAGTTCAAATTTTGTTCCGGTCTGATGATTTTGTGCAGAGTTATGGTCCTTGGACTCAGAAAATTCACTCAAATAATCAGTTTTCTGCACTATTTTTCGTCATGCTTGAAGATATTGATTTGATAATTGGTATATAGTTCTATCATGACAAGTTACAGATCAAGTTAAAATTTTGTTCCAGTCTGATGATTTTATGCAGAGTTTTGGTCCTTGGACTTTGAAAATTCACTCAAATAATCAGTTTTCCACACTTTTTTTCGTCATGCTTGAAGATATTGATTTGATGATTGGTATATAGTTATATCATGACAAGTAACAGATCAAGTTCGAATTTTGTTCCAGTCTGATGATTTTGTGCAGAGTTATGGTCCTTGGACTTAGAAAATTCACTTAAATAATCAGTTTTCCACACTTTTTTTCATCATGCTTGAAGATATTGACTTGATATTTGTTATATAGTTTGCACCATGACAAGTTATAGATCAAGTTAGCATTTTGTTCCAGTACAATGAATTTTTAACTGTAGGGGACTATGTATTGCCATGCAATACTCTCAGAATGCTTGTTTTGATAGATTTACTGTTAGTTTGCAAAAATATTTTTTTCTGTATTTCAGGATGACACATACACAGAAAGTTATATAAGTACTATAGGAGTAGATTTTGTAAGTATCAAGACCATAAACATGTTATACATGTATAAAGACACTTAAATTATGTTTAAAATACATTTGTACATACATGACCATATGCCAGTGTTGATCTGGTGATCAGGATTGGATATGAATTAAGTTATCAACACTTCTTTCCAGGAATGGTTTATATACTACATTTGTATACCAATTATACATTATTTTGATGTAGTTTGAAAATAATTTTTCAAAGCCAATTAGTCTCTTAAAACATTGTAAAAGAAGACTGTCTTAATCCTTCTAAATTATGGTACATACATACACAGATTAGATTTTGAGACCGTCTCATAAAAGAAGACTGTTGAAATTCCATGAACTGGTTAAGTAAACCCCTTATTTAGGGAATACCCCTCTATACAGGTATACCTTTTTTTCTTCAAATCATTCAAATACATAAAGGGGATAATTGTCAAGGGTACAATTTAAATTTTGAAAATGCATCTATTTTCAGGGATAGCTATAAAATGTATAATGTTATGTTATGAGTAAAAACCTCGGCTTGATTTTGTACAACACAGCCACCATTTAAGATTTAATAGCTACCAATTCAAGTCCTACTGGTTATAATTTTCGAATAAAAGTGAAAAGATGTGGTATGATTGCCAATGAGACAAATATCCACAAGAGATCAACCTATGTTTACAGTAGATTATTTAAAAAAATGAAATGCAAGATTCAGACAAAATCTTAAAAAATCTTTGACAGAATTGTAAAAATACATGATGTAGCATAGCATAGTTAGAGCATCTGGTTGATTTAAAAGGTATTCTGTGATTATTATCTGTTCATGTATATTTTCTTCATGGGCATATGTTTGATTAGTAAATTGATGCCAATTAGAATCCATCATCAAATATTTCTTATTCAAAAATCAATACATGTACTCATGGCACTGAACAAACTATATCTAAAGTATTAAAAAACAGAAAAAGCTGTACTGTGTTACTCAGTCAGTTCCATAAGTTTTCCCATTTGATTTCAAATTCAAATTTATGCATATGAACATGTTGAATAGACGCACAAGATATTTCAGTTTTAATTAAATAATCTTTACATCTAGCATGTCCAGGGAACTTATAATTATTGTGATGCAGTTCTATATTTGATGTGAAGGCATAATTCTAGGTGGACCATGCAATCTTTGAATTGATTTAAGGAAGCAACCTGAATCAGCAGTCAAGAGCTGGATCAAGGATTTATAGTTAAATGTGGCTAAAAATAAAGCAACTCCACAGAGCAAAACTGAATATAAAGATTTTTGTAATTTAATGGTAATTTTTTTATTTTCAGAAAATTCGAACTATAGAATTAGATGGGAAAACTATAAAATTACAAATAGTAAGTACAATTAAGTCATTTATAGGACATACATTTACTGTGTACTTCATTATATAAGTTCAACCTAAAGGACATACCAGTATATCATATAAAAATAAGAAGATGTGGTATGATTGCCAATGAAACAACTCTCCACCAGAGACCAAATGACATAGAAGATAACAATTTTAGGTCAACGTATGGCCTACAACAATTAGCAAAACCCATACCGCATAGTCATCTATAAAAGGCCCCGAGATGACAAATGTAAAACAATTCAAACAAGCAAACTATCGGCCTGATTTATGTGCAAAATAATGAACAAAAAACGAATATGATATACAGCAACAAACCACTCAATTACAGGCTACTGACTGGACAGGCACATACAGAATGTGGCGGGCTTTAAACATGTTTTCCGGCACCAAACCCTCCCTCTAACCTAGGACAGTGTTGTCACAGCACAACTCATGAACAAACTATAAAAGTCAGTTGAAAAGGGCTCAACTCATCAGATCGATACAAAGAAGAAAAACGAGTAACAAAAACACAGACTGGAAGTGGCAGGGTATTTATTTATCCCCACAACAAAAAAGACACTAAGTACAGATCTGAGAGTACTTGCATTTACTGACCATGCTGACAGCTAGTTCAAAACCAATAAAAAGTAATGAAAATTTCAATTAAAGTATCATTCAGTACACATCCAACATCCAATGGATTTAGTGTAAAAACATATTAACAGTCTTGAGAAAAACATGATCTTGTGCAATGCCAAAATACAGGTATCAACAGATTGTTGAACTGTGAATGTGCATGTATTTATGTATAAAAACAATAATATTTGTTTGGTTTTAATTTACGTATAACAAAATCAATATTTATACCAATAAGAACAACATTTAAAGATCTAATTATAGTGTTGAATTTGTAACCTTTTAGAATAAGTTTATTTAAAGGATTGGTAAGTTTCCTCGGATCATATCTAAATTTCTGGGCTCGGAAAACAACATAATAAATGTAAATGTATATTTAGTGAAATATTACAAATAATTAATTGAAGGTAAATGTAATGAATCTGTTGTCATTATGATTGTTGCAGAGATTTGTGAATGACTGATAATTTAAGTAGTTTTGTAAGTTTAATTCAGATGTTATGAAAACTAGTACGAAAAAAACTTAATTTGTAAAAAGAAATGATTTTTTTTCCTAGTGAAAGAAATTAGAAATTGTTTTTATACATAAGGGACGTCATCAAAAGATCGATGTCGGATAAAAAACTTAATTCATATAGTTTGGGGGTGGGGGGTTAAAAATCGCTGCAAGTTTTCTTATCTGACATCGATTTTAGGATTGAAAAATACGGATTCAAGTTTGGCCCTAACATATGTTTGGACTTTTAAACCAAATGAATGCCATCAAATCGTACTGGAAAGCAAATTTTTGGCCTAAAGTATTGGGACGAACTTCTCCTTATCAGTTTCAAAGAGAGAAGTCACTTCTTCCTATGATTCTGAAGTAGTGTGAGCCCTGCACCTAGGGCATTATGTTTGTCTGTCCGTTCATCCCTCTGTCCCTCTTCAGGTTAAAGTTTTTTTTAGTTTTTGATGAAGTTGAAGTCCAATCAACTTGAAACTGTTCCCTATGATATGATCTTTCTAATTTTAATGCCAAATTAGAGTTTTGATCCCAATTTCACGGTCCACTGAACATGGAAAATGGTGGGGCATCCGTGTACTATGGACACATTCTTGTTATGCTTTAAAATACATTTTGGTTCATTTATATGTTTCAGAGTTAAGTGTGACGTCCATTTTTCGCTGAGCTAGTACACATTTTTGTTTAGGGGCCACCTGAAGCACTCCTCCGGGTGTGGGATTTTCTCGCTGTGTTGAAGACCCATTGGTGGCCTTAGACTGTTTTCTGCTCTTTGGTCGGGTTGTTGTCTCTGACACATTCCCTGTTTCCATTCTCAATTTTATGTACTTTGTAGAAACCTGAAATTTTGAACTATATAATTTTATATATGGTCCAATGATATGTCTGTCCTCTAATCATGTTTTCTGAAGCAAGGACCTTGCTGGTGTGTTAGTATATCTATTTATTGGATGACTGAAAAATGTTAACAGTGCTTCTTATAAATTCTATGAATTTTAGCATGTAGGCCATAAAACAAATGAGCTGCATCGGATAGAAATGGACCTTATGCAAGTGCACGTATACATGTACATGTATAAGACCTTAATTGATTTTGGAACATTCAAATACAAAATAAAAGAGGAATTTTGGTTTGTTTTTGTAGGGTTCTTATATCAGTTAAATTTTCAAACAGTTTTACACTTTGCATAGGGATTTTTTAAACCCAAAATATTCATTTGCATAAGGTCGATTTCTATCTGATGCAGCTCAAATTTCTAATAAAGTTTTTGACTTTAATCTACAATTTAATGATAGATGGTCTGGTCTTTGTACATTTTCGATTTCATAGTTTGCAGAATGCATTTAAATACTTTAATCAGGAAAACATAAACTTATGGAACCCCCTCCGAACAAAGAAACAAACAAATAATGAATAAAAATCAATTGAGAATTGACCCTCCCCATGAAATAACAACCATCAGTATTCTCAACTGCTGTAGTCTATGGTAATATTAGAAAATTGTTCTATTTCTTAATTATTGCACCTATATACATTACTATATAACTTACATACAGGTGCATTCATAATGAAATATTGCAACAACAGTGAAGTAAAATAAATTTTACCTTTATGAAATTGTTTCTACAATAAATAATGCTATCGTTTTTAGTGGGACACAGCTGGTCAAGAAAGATTTAGAACAATAACATCAAGTTATTACAGAGGAGCACATGGTATTATTGTAGTGTATGATGTGACAGATCAAGTAAGTGATGATATTGAAATATCTGTTTGTATTTCTTCAATACTAAGTGTTGCCACATTCAGAATTTATGCAAAATGTTCAAATTCTGTGAAGAACTTAAAATCACAAAATATACATAGAATAGCACTAACACAGTAGTTTTGAAGGCGGAAACAGAAGTTATCAATAGTCACAATTAGAACATCTCCTTATGATTTTGAAGAAGTGTGAGCCCTTTATTGATAGTATATATAACTGGAAGCTGACATTCTTAAAGATTTCTGTCAAGACTTTCTAGAAGATTGTTGTCATTCTATCAGGAATGTCTTTGTGTATCATTAAAGTCTAGAATATCAGTTAACAAGACAAACACAGAATGGTCAAATTAGTGATGTTAAAACATGTAAGATTGAACACTTATACCTCACAAGTACCAGTTATTAAAGTTGATCATAGTGATAAAAAATACTGAAGGCAAGGAAAATAAGCATACATGTGGAATTGACAATAATCAATAGAAATATTACACAATATTACCTTATAGTATATTTTGTACTCTGATACAGAGTTCATGTAAATTGAATTTCAATTGACATTATGATGTATTCGTAAACATTTTAATTATGGGTTGCTTTTTCAATGGTTTTGTACAATTTCTTTTCAGGAATCTTTTAACAATGTAAAACAGTGGTTACAAGAAATCGACAGATATGCTAGTGAAAATGTAAATAAATTACTAGTAGGAAATAAATCTGATTTGGAAACCAAGAAAGTAGTAGATTATACAACAGCTAAAGTAAGTAATTAAAAGTGATGGGTTGCGTGATTGAATCAAAAATCACCAGTGTTGGTGTCGAGTGAATCTAATTGAAACCAGGTGTTTGCTGGTATTTAGAGTGTACAACCCTGTCGTATTGAATATACAGATAGTTATTTTAGGTTGAACATCCCACAATCACCAACATTCACTGTGAAATAATTTGGGTATGTTTTAAGAATTTTTCAAGAATCAGTTATGGTTTCAAAATACAACTTTGTACCATTGTTTCTAAACAAACATGGTTAACTGTTTCTTTAGACTCCATGCATTGAACTGCCATTAGAAATATTATTAAGACCTAATTTTGTGAGGCATTGCCATCAGTTTGCATTCTGTTGCACATCTGTCATCCTTCAACTTATTCCTAAATTGAATCTTGATCTGTCAAAACAAAAATGTTGATCTTTTAAATCTGCTAGAACAAAATGTTGCTAAAATAGTTTAATGTTTAGTTTTCTTTCAAATCATGGTATTTCATTATTGTTGTGAAACAGTTACGCAGAAAAGCCTGGTGGGCAAGCCAGTTTTTAGTTCGCTACTGACGAAGTCGAAGGGGACTTTAGGTTTGCACTCCGTCCGTCTGTATGTCCATCCGTCAATCCGGCAAATCAGTTTTCCACACTTTTTTTCTTCGTGCTTGAAGGTGTTGATTTGAAATTTGGTATATACTTTTATCATGACAAGTTACAGATCAAGTTCAAATTATGTTCCAGTCTGATGATTTTGTGCAGAGTTAAATACCTTGGACTTAGAAAATTCACTCAAATAATCAGTTTTCCACACTTTTTTTCGTCATGCTTGAAGATATTGACTTGATATTTGTTATATAGTTTACACCATGCAAAGTTATAGATCAAGTTAGCATTTTGTTCCAGTACAATGAATTCTTAACCGGTAGGGGACTATGTATTGCCATGCAATATTCTCAGAATGCTTGTTAATATACTTTGCAAGTTAGTAAAAAAAAAATTCTTTATTTTTTGCAGGAATATGCAGATTCTTTAGGAGTACCTTTCCTAGAAACAAGTGCAAAAAATGCTACGAACGTTGAACAAGCATTTATGACGATGGCGGCAGAAATTAAAAATAGAATGGGTCCAGTTACAGCTGCAGCTGACAACAAATCTAATGTAAAAATAAATCCAAGTACTCCTGTAAAACAAGGAGGTGGAGGATGCTGTTAATAGACTAAATGTACCTGACTTTTGATTTGAGACCAATTGGGATAACAGAGTTAAGCCCTTGCTTTACTCATAGTCAAAATTTGACAAAAGACTGGTATATATGTGATTAATGTGGTTCAAATTTTGACTTGAGAATTAATTTATAAGTAGGGGTAAACATACAGTTACCTTTTGAGGGAATTTGTATCAAGCAAGTGCTTTTACAAAGAAAACTAAATGTAACAAGGTTTTAAGGTTCAAAAAGAAATAACTCTGTATTTCTTTTCAGTCTCGTAATTTTGAAGAAAGCTTTAAGCAATTATTTTACATATATTTAGAAAACATCTCGCTATAAAATTGTCTTTAAACAACAAAAATTTCTTAGATTATCAATTTTCTTTGCCAAAATGTGAAATGTAAAATTAGATTAATTAATTCTGATCAATGAACCTTGATATTGGCCTATTAATGGCTGCTTGAGCTAAGGGGAGATTGATATTTAAGTTATTTAATTCAACATTGATACTGGTTCCATATTTGTCATGAAGACACAGAAAAATAATCTGTGTTGGACATTTGTTTATACACATCATGATTTTATTCACTTATAAATTATAAAATTGTTAAATATTTATGTTTTTGCTTATTATTGTATAAATATATGTAAATAAGTGAATGAGAGATTGGATGTTTGTGTTATTTGTTGCTTTTTACCTTTACTACATCTTATAGCAATATCCTAACGGAGAGTCAACTACTGATGACTTAATTTCAGTAAACCATACAACAATGGTTTATTATTACTTTGTTTTAATTTCGAAGTTTTTCCTCTTGATAACATGAGCAACTTCATTTATTAAAACCGACATGTTGTAATTCACTTATCACAGGTCAGCATATACACACTACTTGTTTATGAAGAGGGGGATATGATAATTGAATGATATGAATTTATTTTGGTATGATTGTAACATTGTGAAACATTAAGAAATAGGGTCAAGTAGAATGAAAAATTCTTATACATATATTATCACGCTGATTTCAAAACCTAGATAATTTTATTTGTTTAAAATAAATGCAACCCAGAAGAAATAATTCTTATTTTATTTGCATAATTTTTTGTGTGTTTACTGTTGTTTACTCTCATAACTCCATTAAAATTAGAGAAACATTATAGATTTGTCTAGTAATATATATTTAAACTGTCTTAATCTTGGTAAGTGTTTCATGAATGGCCATACAATACAATTTGATAATTTTTGTGAAAAGAAAGTATGAACTAAGTCAGATTCATATGGGGATTGTCTGTTAAATAAAATAAAAAAAATGTATTTTATATTATATTGTAGCAGATTAAAGGAGATGTACCATGCCTCAGCAGTAAAATAAGAAATTCTATAGAACTTATAAATCTTTTCATGATGTCAGGTTGATTGTAAAATGCTAGAGAATTAAATTAATATTGTAAATATATGTTTACCTATTTATCTAACAATGCTTTTTTACATACTCATACAGTCCTTTAATTTTTGACAAGTCATTTAATGTAAAACAAGGTTGTTAGATAATGGATTTTTTTTCTGTCAAAGAAAGTACTGATACATGGAAGATGAAAATATTATATGACCATTCAACATTTTAAGAGCCAAAAATATGTTTTAAGACTGTCAGCATGCTAACTTACTGTGTTTCTTATTCCATGCTTTACAGATTCATTGCTTGTTATGAATTAAAATTGTGATTTACTTTCTAAGATTAAGACATTTAATGTATCATGATGTACAGCATATCAACATAATTGAATTAAAGGACTACACATTTGTTAAGGTTAATTGAAAAAGGCTTGAATTCACACACATTTTGATTCTTAAAAAATTTAAAGCCTTAATTATTATTTTCTTTATGATTAATTTCCAACTATTGATCACTTTCAACTAGTATTTTAGGTTAGGAAATAAATGTCAGCTTATGTCTTTTTCATTACACACAATACTTGTTTCCAAAAGTAAATATTTTAGACTAACGTGTAACTTTATATTTTATGTGAAGGTAGGTAAACTAGACAGTGAAACTTACATTTATGTATGATTGCACCAATTTTCATATAGTCAGTTACTGTATGTCAGACAAGCAGGCTTGTGTGTCAATGATATGTATATAAGGACATCTATGGAAATATACTTTTCAGTCAGACGATTAAATCTCTCAAATTCACTTTTGTTTTGTATATTTTCAATTGCCTGTGTAGTGTTTTTCAGAGATAGCACATTATGTCTTGCCTTCATACAGTGAGACTTGGGGATACTTTTTCAACATGAATGGTCTCCAACTTTTAATCTAAAGCTTTATGCTTTGATTTGTTCAAGTATATGTCTTTTTGACACACTATTGATGTATTTGGTATTTGGGTCAAGATAAGCAATTCATTTCAGGTAAGCAGTAATGGTAGCCTATTCCTCAATTCCTCTGCCCATATCGTAAACTTGGAAATGAATGATGGGCTGGTTTGAAGCCAAGACATTTTCACAAATGTGGTTAAATTTTCGGGGTACAAAGTGAGATTCAATATTCTGTAATTTAGCACACCCCCAAAATCTTTTATGAAGCAGCTTCTTGAGGTAAATAAAAAATCCTTTTTTTTTCACACAATAATTTCTTTGAAAACAGTTTTCTTTGCATACATTTAATAATCACCTTTATTCTATGGTTCTCTGCTCTCCAAATCAGCATAAATGGTTGAGCTCAGTCAATAAAAATTGAAAAATGTCCAATAACACTGCACAGAGCTTTTTTTGTTTAAGCACTATTGAGTTCCTCAATTTTGGGCGCTTTAGGGATATTGACCCCTTTGTTTCATTAGCATTCATTCACATATATGTATCTAGTGAATGAGGCTTCTGAAATTTTTGAACAGTTTCATCTGATAAGAAGGACTAAATGTCATAGAACATTTTGATATTGTATGCTGTTGCATTACTATCATTGTATTTCAGTTTCAAACGGAATAGATCTTCCCTTGCAGTCGTGCTGACATGTCTTTGGAATGTTCAAATAAAATTAAAATGAAATGTGAGATATATGTCTGTTAAAAAGAAACACAACACAAGAAAAAAACATCTAGAGGCCAGCATATGGTCTTGTGTGCCACATTCTGTATGTGCGTGTCCCAAGTCAGAAGCCTGTACTTGTAGTTGTTGTTTGTTGCTGTATACACATTAATTTTTTTTTTCGTTCATTGTTTTGTACATAAATCAGACCATAAGTTTTCTTGTTTGAATTTGTTTTACATTTGTCATTTTGGGGCCTTTTATAGCTGACTATGAGATATGGGTTTTGTTCATTGTTGAAGGCCGTACGGTGACCTATAGCTGACATCCAAGGATCTGCCAACAAAAACAAATTCTCCAAATGACAAAAAAATATTGTTACGTGATAATGGACTGCAGAAGTCATGGATATGTGATGGGGGTTAATTTTTATCTTGCCTCCACGTAGGCAAGACCAGGAGTGCTATTTCTAGCAACAGCGGTGTCTACAATGTATTAGGTTGAAGAGAATCCAGTGGTGCTATTTAATGATATTTGGTATACAATTGTATTAGCATTGTTACATATCATTTCCATGGAGACTATTTGACCCCGTTCCCTTTGGTCATGATATATTGACTTACTTTTTCTTGTATAAAAAAAGGAGACATGTGGTATGATTGCCAATGAGACAACTATCCACCAAAATTCAAATAAAGCAGATGTAAGCAATTATAGGCAACTGTACAGCCTTCAACTATGAGAAAAGCCCATACAGTATAGTCGGCTATAAAAGGCCCCGACATGAAAAATATGAAATAATTGAATTGATTTACATGTAAAGTGTGATAAGTTCAGTGTAAGCAGTACATTTAATAGGAAGTAAACGATATTTTGTATGCAGTTGTATTAGCATTTTGCACATCTCTTATTCATGGAGATTATTTGGCTTTTACCACTCAGTCATATTCTTTTGACTTTGACTCTTTCATAGTTTACTTGTTAAAGTTTGTGTTTATTACGGTTAAAGGGGACCACTTATGATTAGTCAATGAGGTTTGATATGCAGTTGTGTTAGCAATGGTATTTCTTATTCCCACGGAGGTTATTTGGCCCAGCACCTCAGTCATGGTTCATTGACTTCGAATGTTTGCATAGGTTATATATTAAAGTACTGCTATACATGTGGGCCAGCTATACATCTAGGTTTAACCCACCATTTTTTGGGGAATATGCCTGTACCAAGTCAGGAATATAGCAGTTTTTCACTTGTTCCGTTGATTGATAGCGTTTGATTTTGTCAGTTTTTATAGACTTCCCCATTTTATTCCCCAACCGACAAAGTCGAATGGGACTTTAGGTTTGCCCTCTGTCCGTCTGTCTCTCCGTCCGTCAGTCTGTCTCTCCATCCGTCCGTCTGTCCATCCGTCAGTCCGGCAAATCAGTTTTCCACACTTTTTTTCTACATTCTTGAAGATATTGATTTGATATTTGGTATATAGTTTTGCCATGACAAGTTATAGATAAGTTCGAATTTTGTTCCGGTCTGATGATTTAGTCCAGAGTTATGGACCATAACTCTGGACCATATCTAACTATGTTAAACCATATTTCTGTACAAAGGGAGATAACTCATTTTTAAAAAGATATTCTTTGGTAAATTATTTGAAGAATTCTTTGGCAGGTTTGTTTGTTATTTTGTATAAACTAATTTTCTGACTGCTCTCTCTATATATATATATATATAAAAAATTATGAAGTGAAATCCTTTAATTAGATAATAATCTATTTTTATTAATGTATATATAACATTACATTGTGTAGATAAAAATTGTTGACATTTTATAGATAAGTTACAAATCTATATTAGTTTGTGACAAATAAAAGAAAAAATATTTGGATCTATTAATTATATTTGATTATAATTTGAAAATAGATATACACTGTATTACATCATATCTAATTTTAGAGAACTATTAATCATATCTGATGTTAAAGTGTATTCCACACCTTTTTATACGACCGCAAAAAAATTTTGCGGTCGTATATTGGTATGACGTCGTCGTCGTCGTTGTCGTCGTCCGGCGTCGTCCGAAGACACATTGGTTTTCGCACTCTAACTTTAGTTTAAGTGAATGGATCTCTATGAAATTTTACCATAAGATTCAATACCACAAAAGGAAGGTTGGGATTGATTTTTGGGGTTATGGTACCAACAGTTAAGGAATTAGGGGCCAAAAAGGGGCCAAAAATAAGCATTTTTGTAACTTCCAGACATAACTTGTGTGTTAGTGTATGGATCTCTCTGACATTGTACCACAAGGTTCCATATCACACAGGGAATGCTGGGATTGATTTTGGGGGTAATTGCCTCATTTTTCTAGTTCTATGACAATAACTTGTGTGTAAGTGTATGGATCTTTCTGAAATTGTACTACAAGGTTCCATATCACAAAGGGAAAGCTGGAATTGAGTTTGGGGGTAATTGCCCAAAACGTTTAGGAATAAGGGGCCAAAGATAAGCATTTTTCTAGTTTCCAGACAATAACTTGTGTTCAAGTGTATGGATCTCTCTAAAATTGCACCACAAGGTTCCATATCACACAGGGAATGCTGGGATTGATTTTGGGGGTAATTGCCTCAAAATATTAGGAATTAGGGACCAAAAAAAGGGAAAAAAAAACAAGCATTTTTCTAGTTTCATGATAATAACTTGTGTGTAAGTGTATGGATCTTTCTGAAATTGTACTACGAGTTTCCATATCACAAAGGGAAAGCTGGAATTGAGTTTGGGGGTAATTGCCCCAAAAAGGGGCCAAAAATAAGCATTTTTCTAGTTTCCAGACAATAACTTGTGTTCAAGTGTATGGATCTCACTGAAATTGTACTGCAAGGTACCATACCACAAAGGGAAGGCTGGGATTGAGTTTGGGGGTGATGAATCATAAGGGGGTTCAAAAAATTTGGGGGGGGGGGGTGATTTTTTTTTTTCCTTTTTTTCTTTTTTTCTTTTTTTTTCTTTTAAAATTTATCCATTTTAAGTTGGTTATTTCTGTTTTATATTTAAAAGCAAATAATAATGATATGGTAGGAGATACACACCAAACAGGATGTGTAAATTATTATATAATAAGTATTGTACAATAGCAAGAAATTTTCAATTGCACAGTATTGCACAATAGCAAGAATTTTCTATTGCACAGTATTGTGCAATAGCAAGAAATATCCAATAGCACAATATTTGGCAATAGCAAGAAATTGTCAATTGTACAGTATTGCGCAATAGCAAACAATATTCAATTGCACAGTATTGTGCAAAAGAAGATACTTCGTATAAATTGCTTATTTCTTGACCAATTTCAATGGGGTTTTATTCTTGAATTCTTGGGGTTCTTTTATATGCTGATTCTAACCGTGTATTAAGTTTTTGGAATTTGGGCCCCGTTTTTAAATTGGTCCACATTGAGGTCCAAAGGGTCCAAAATTAAACTTTGTTTGATTTCATCAAAAATTGAATTATTGGGGTTCTTTGATATGCCGAATCTAACCGTGTATTTAGATTCTTAATTTTTGGTTCCGTTTTCAAATTGGTCTACATTAAGGTCCAAAGGGTCCAAAATTAAACTTAGTTTGAATTTAACAAAAATTGAATTCTTAGGGTTCTTTGATATGCTGAATCTAAACATGTATTTAGATTTTTGATTATGGGCCCAGTTTTCAAGTTGGTCCAAATCGGGGTCCAAAATTAAACTTTGTTTGATTTCAACAAAAATTGAATATATGGGGTTCTTTGATATGCTGAATCTAACCATGTATTTAGATTTTTGATTTTTGGGCCCCATTATCAACTTTGTCCACATTGAGGTCAAAAGGGTCCAAAATTAAACATTGTTTGATTTCATCAAAAATTGAATTCTTGGGGTTCTTTGATATGCTGAATCTAACCATGTATTTAGATTTTGGATATTGGACCATAATAGGTGAATGTCCAATTTAAAATTCTTAAGTTCTTAGACCACATTCATTCTATGTCAGAAAGCTATGCTGTGTCAAATATTTAATCACAATCCAAATTCAGAGCTGTATCAAGCTTGAATGTTGTGTCCATACTTGCCCCAACTGTTCAGGGTTCGACCTCTGCGGTCGTATCAAGCTGCGCCCTCCGGAGCATTTTATTTCATCATGCTT